AATTTTTTTTTTTTTTGAAAATTTATAAATAAAAAGCAAAAAGAAAGAAGGAATGAAGAACTTGCACAATTCGAAGCAAATTGCTGAAATGTTTTTTCAAAATTTCAGTACGTTCCCAAGCAGATTCCAATGGATCCTCATCTTCCAGTTCAATTTCAACCTCACTTTCATCATTTAATTGGCTTCCGGAATTATCATTTAATTCATCCAAAATATTTTCTGATGATGAAGGCGTTATATTGGCTAGTGTTGCTGGTATGTCCCGAAGAGCACTCATTGCACCATGAATTGCACCTGAAAAGTGAATTGCATCATAAATTGCACTTAAAGACTGAATTGCATCATAAATTGCATTTAAGGATTGAATTGCCCCACGGATTGCACCGAAAGATAAAATTGCACACCATAAACTGAATAAGTGATAAATGATAAATAATATGCAAGAAAATAAAATAAGCTGTAAATGAGTAAAGAATATATAAGTAAAAAAACATTCATTTAAATATTGATTATTTCTTTTTTCATCTCTCCTCCATTCTTCCAAATAAATGATACCTTGCATTTTACGACTGAAATACTTTTGTTTTTGTTTCCCAGTAATAGCATCATCAGTTGATGCTTGTAAAATGATCGAAATTCGTTTTTGATTTCCAATTCTTTTCCAATTCAATAATTCATCATCTCCCACTCTTTCGATATATTTTTCCAGTTTACCAATTGAATCAGCAAACATATCCAAATTGTTCGCAATTGTCATCTGTATTAAAAAAGATTAATTTATGCAAATAATTTAAATCATACGAGAATAAGTTAAATGTTTTAGAATTATATTTTAATACCATAATCAAACTAAATCTTTTTCATAATTTTCCATAATTTCTATACTTCAATACCATAATTTTTATATATTCCTCATTTTGTTCCTTCTGATGCACTCCTTTATTTTTCAGTTCGACGACAGATTCTGCAACAACAAAATAAAACATATTGAAAATGATAACAGAAGAACAAAGAAATACATTTTCATCATAGCATTTTAAAATTATTCCTGCCCATTGTTTTTTTCTTTCAATATGATAAATTTACATTCATAGAATAGCTTAATCATAATGTTTTTTGTTGATGTCACATATAAAATATACCTAATGATATATAATATATTCAATCGTACATTCAATAAGTAATCAATCCATTTCCCCTCTCAATATCCATATTTATTTCTAAGAAGGAAAAATAAAGGAAAAAAAAAGCTTACCTTCTAAATAAGGACAAATATGCTTGATATACTCATTTAAGCATTCATTCAAAACACGCGGTACAATTTCATCCG